ATTTCACCTGTATGAAACTGCAGCCGAGAATGATCAAGTTGGCGATACTCGTGGACCGATCCTCGTGTCGTTCCGAGTCGTATGAGTAGAGAAGTACTGGGGCAGTACCGAGAACTGACCAAAGCTCTGGGTACATTTCGGGGAACCCACTCAGGTACATGGAATTCAGCAGTTCACCGGTCAATGATGTCAAACCCACTGTTTTCAGCGACATGGTCGCAAAGTTCTCCAACTTTTCTATCCTCTCTTCTTTCATAACTTCCACTGAAAATGACACGAGAAGCTTCCGATTATCAAACGAACCCCCGGACATAGAGTCCATCAATATCATGCATGAGGATATTTTAAATTACAGTGAGACCCCAAGATGGGGACGTAATTGGTGCATGAAGAGTGCCCTGATGTCGGAATGTCCTTAAGTCAATTCTAATTTTCCCTTACACTTCAATGCTAACGTATTTAATTGGGTCTCTTTTTGTGTTGTCAAAAATTAGAAATAAGTAAAAAAATTTAAATTCAAATTGTTTCCCTCAACTTCAAGTTGTAGAAAACACCAGGTCAGAACAACCACGTAGAATCTGATCTTTTTGTATCAAAAGGAGATGAAAAAGCAGAGAAAAGGAATAATTCTTGCTATAATATGCACAGAGGATAGAAACAAAACTCTGAAAAAATTATCACTAAATTAGCTTGCTGGTGAATGTGACTGGCACAATGCTGGGAATGCTTTCAATGAAAACATAAAGATGATTCCAATGATCTTACTTATGGATGCCAAAGACAATGACGCCAGGGATACAGTCAAAGAGTACCATGGTGCCATTAGGTGGCGTCTCCATCCGTACGGAGGAATCACTGGTACCCCAGGAACCGACTTTTGATCTTGTATGACAGACCATGAATAAATGCTGGCTGCCAACAAGAACCACGACAGAGAAGTGATCTGTCGATTGGTGGCCCTCGCCATGGCAGCAAATTGATCTGAAAACTTTCATTAATTGCTCATCCGATGAGACTTGACTTGAACACGATGCAAATGATATGGCTTATTGAAGGTGCAGAAATTTTGGCGCCCTTAATCAGTTAAAGTATAGAATAATCACGTCTACAGTATTTTTTTTTTGCATCCTCGGCGCATGCTTGGAATAGGATATTCTGCGCCTAGTACACACATGTTTCGAACTTATCGTCAGTGTTATTTTCGTATTTTCTATGTGCTGACAAAAATAAAAAAAGAAAGTTTGTTCAAGTTGCCTTCTTGAACAGATCGACGAGCTTTTTTACTGCCCTGAAACAAATCATATTCCAGACTAAGAACCTGCATTTCCTTGAAAGAAATGCTGAGTTACGACGTTGATTGACCAACTTCCCTGATTTATAAAGTTAGACTCTGGTTCTGCGCAAGGATGGAAATTTTGACTGATATACAGTACTGCTTGGCATACAAAACATGTAATGCTACAGTAATTTTAAATTTTTTTTTTATCTTGGTTTTGTATGTGTCTTGTTTTCCTGTATTTTCACAGAGAAACAAATATGATTTCTTTTAGCACCTACGGGATTATACTTATTGAATGCCCCAAGTGGGACAACTTTGTTTGTTTTGTGCAACTAATACCTTTTCTCTTCTTTTCTTTGGGGAGATTTTCATCTGATATGATGCCTGCTGATGTTGATTTTATCAGCAATGAGCTTTGATGAAAAATTTATTTCACAAAATTGAAAATATTGTATCTCAGAAACTAAAGCTCTGGACGACATTTTATTGAAGACTAGAAATGTAGAAAACTTCGCAATATAAATTTCAAGATGTTGCAGAAATTCCTATCTTCATTTTTGACAAAGACATTTGCTTTGGAAGTTTGCATTGCAAATTACATAATGCGCAAAATTTTATCTTGGAATGTTTCCTGGTTTTCTGGACTTGTTCTGTGTGAGGAAAACCTGTGAATGTCTTATGCTTATTTTGTGATATAGAGTATATATTAAGGCTTGTGTAAATGCAAGGAAACATATCAGTTTCATTGAAAAATGTCATTGGTGCACATTTCCTTCATTTTTCCCATAGTGGTACACTTTGAATACTGTACGGTTTTAATCAGAAGAAATTAGAAAAGATGTTCAAGCCGTACACCTTGATAAATGTTATTGATGTAGCTTATTGATTATGATTTGGAACACCTTAAAAGATAATTACGTGGCAGATGTAAACTGAAGAATTTGACAAAAATGGAAAATATGAGAATAAATTCAACACAGCAATTGGCCGGTGCGCGAACCGACCAGGGATTCTCTCCCAAACAGCGCAAGCCTTTGTTCAACTCAACAGGTAAGCTTTACAAGATAAATATTCACAACAGTTTTTGACAGGAGAATATACACAACAGTTTCGCGGACTTGTAAGATATTTCGGAAAATACAAATTTCGAGAGCACAACGTAACGCTTCGCACGCAAAATTCGGACTGTGT